ATTATCTAAAGGTAATAAAACAAGAGAAACCTTAAGCTTAAAGAAGATGACATTTTAAAAGCTGATGTGCATCATGATCAAACTCTATTTAGTGGAGCCGATAAGTGTGCAAATGGTGTATTTGCCGATGTCGGAGGAGCTAGTACAGTGGCAAATTGAATTGAAGCATGTGTTGACTTTAGAAGTAGTTAACCAGGGAAATTAAGGTCCAAGTTTGAATGTTGACTTGAATGATGTGGCAAATAATGTATATGTGGCAAGGAAACCGGTTAAAACAAGTCTAGGGGTCTAAATAGACAGGTTGCCCACAAGTTCGTTCCCTCATAAAGCCACAAAATAAGTTAAATGGCTAAATGGGTAAACCCGAGAAACTTAATAGGGCATATATGTCATTTTCCCTTTTTTATATCAGTGATTCTATTTTGTTGAGGATTGTCTATATAAGAGCTTAAGTGTAGGATACCATGTTGAGTAAGATAAAGAATAAGAATAGAATTGAAGGATTCTTTGCCATTATCTATCTTGAGCATTTGAATCTTGGTGTGAGATTGAATTTGAATAATAGAATGAAGATTGCTAAAAATTTCACCCACTTCTTATTTGGAATTCATACGATACACCCAAATTAACCTAGTGTGATTGTCCATAAAATATGCTAAACCATTTTTGTCAAATTATAGTCTTGACTCGTGCGGGACCCTACATAGCGCTATGAATTAATAAAAATGGTTTGGAAGGTAAGTGTTTCGAGTATGTTTTACGAGTTAGCAAATTTCACAGCAAAGAGAGTCGGTATGTTTATTAATAAACAACGGGGGAAACATTTTTGACAAATACCATTCAGATAATAGTGACAATAGAGCCACAACATGATATCACTATCTTCATTGGAATGAGAATGGTTATTTAAAGAGAACAAGCCAAATAGTTATGATTTCCAAAGAGTATCATCTTGTAAGAAAGAGGACCATAACATGTCTTAGCATTGCCAGTTATCTTCCCTAAACCTAATTCTTGAAACACATACACACACACACACACACACACACACATATATATATATATATATATATATATATATATATATATAGGGTAAAGTGAATATACCTAACAACCTTATATAAGCTTAGGTACCTAACCTCATCAAACTATGTCATTTTGCATTAAATTTTCATTGCAATCATCCAAGGTTCTTAAACTTCATCCGTAAACTTGATTTACTTCAAAAAAATTTGGAAATTCATCATTATATTTCTCTTACATCCTTTCATTTGTAGCGGTAGGATATGAAACCCATCAGGTGGTATTCGATAGAAAGACGTGATGCAAAAGAAAGATATTGGTGAAAGTCCAAAGATTTAGGAAGTAATCAAGTTATGGGGTTGAAGTTTAAGAACCTTAGACAATTACAATGTGAATATGATACAAACCAATGTAGTATTATGGAGTTAGGTACCTAAGCTTATATAGGGTTTTTAAGTATATTCACTTTACCCATATATATATATATATATATATATATATATATATATATATATATATATATATATATATAGCCATAAAATTGAGTTCACATTTTACTTTATGAATAAACAGTAAATTATGTTCCATCTTGGGCACATAAAGAATAGATTTAGGTTAATTTTGACTGAACCCACACCCTAACTTTAGAGAATGTATCATTTGCAATTTTACTATGTGGTGTTTTGGACTTGCATGAAACTGGGAAACAATGCTTGGATCTGTCATATGATTTGATGGTCTTGAATCAAGAATCCAAGGGTTAATATGCCTTCTACTAACCATAAGGATTAATGAATGGTTACCTTTAGTGGTCAACAACCCTATATCAACCCTATACCTAGGAGTGATGTTTGGTTGAACAGACTGCTTAGGATTTTCTAAAGTGTCTTTAATTGTTCTTTGGTGAAAGTAGATGAAATGGATGTGTCCCCTTTTCCTTTGGCAACAATACTTGAAGGTGTAACAACCACATTCCCATGAGTTTCTTTGTCTTTCCATGATTTTGGTTTCCAATCGGCAGGTGTTCCATGAAGTTTCCAACATGTTTCTTCTTAAAGTCTAGATTTACGACAATGTTTGTCATGGTGATCTCTTTTGTTGTCCTCATGGTAGCAAGAGAAGAAGAATGAAGAATCTTGAGTGGATGGATTACAAGCTTCAGGGGCGGCGACTCAACTAGTTAGGGGCTCTAAGCGAACCAAAAATATGGGGCCCTTTGTCTTTACTATACTTAATGTTATAAACTCTCATCCTTTAACCTTAATTGGCTAACCCTAATAGAGTATTAAATAATAGAAAATTGGGAACATATATTGATACAGTTGAGGATTTGAACAATCAAGAAATGAGAAGGAAGAATAGAAGATAAATGAAAATTCAGTTTTTAAGAATCAAGATCATTTCACTCATGTGTCCTACCGCATGCGTTTCGCTCTGTCGCTCAATATGATTGTCGATTGAAATTGTGGATTGTGGCCTATTGAACAATAAGACAATTACTAATGGACTAATTCAATAATTGAGATTTGAGATATATTAGGTTAAATTTGGACAAGATGGGGCCCTTTAGAATTGGGGGTCCCTAAGTGCTAGCTTAAAATTTCACAAGGTTGAAGCATGACCTTGTTCCCACTCTCTTCGTGTGTTAAACCTCTGAGAATGCTTCCTTGACATGAAAAAGAGGCTTGATACTCATGATCTTGCTCCTAACTGCCTCAAGTTCTTTATTGAGTACATGAAAGAAACTTGAAATTTCTGATTTTCTCAACAATATTCTGGTATAGAATAGTGTTAGCAGTACACTTCCAGGGATGGTTTTCAAATAGATCTAATTGTTGCCAATACCATGAGATTGCCTTTGCCACCAACCATGAGATTTGTTAAAGGTAAAAAAAGAATACAACATAGATTGCTAGAAAATATGAAGATGAATGTGAAAAAGAGGCTTTAAAGCTGTGATACCCTGAAGCTTTTAGTATGAGTTGATGATATATTCACTAGAGGAAACATGCATATTTCTTGGCTAATAATAGAGAATATCCTAGCTATATAATCAATCCTAATTCATGTAAATCATAGATTCTACCTATAATTAAGGGATTTACAATAATGAAGGCTATTCTTTAATTAGTACATCACAAAAAAAAAAACAAGTGTTACCGAAAATCCAAGGTTCAATACGAAACTATGCTTTTGTGGGAAATAATATATGACAAGGACTCTCACCATTTAGAGCAGAACAGGGCATTGGTTAATCAATAAACATAATGTGAAAATTGTATTTTTCCTAAAATTGTTTTGATAAATTCATATAAAAGAGAAGTGCTCCAGTAGTTTCAAGATATCTTAATCTAGTTGTAGACTGATGGCCCCCAAACATCAGAAGGAACCAACTCAAATAGAGAATTAGCTCTTTTATCGACTGTAGGTGAACTCAAATGATAATATATGGAAAAGCAACACAACTTGCAATTTATAGAAGGCAAAACATGAAATACAGGACACAGTTTCTGCAATGCGTTAAAGAGGATGATCTTATCAACAAGGGTCTTCAAAAGGGTGACAATGCTTGAAGAAGTACAACACCCCAGTAGTAGTTTGGTATCTAAGATATATACAGACTTCTATATTCATGTCCTATACCAATAATCTTTTTCTTTAAAAGATCATAAAAGCATTAATGCGAAAAGAATGAGATAAAACCGTTTATAGAACGATTGATTTGACTCACATGTGTGATGGTAAATGAGAAATTGGGGAGAGTAAGGATCGATTTTAAAAGTTAATGAGGGTGTTAAATTAATGGTGTCAGCACCAAGAAATTTAGAGGTAGATCACTTTGCTAAAGTGATCTTAGATACGTTGGAATAAGATTCAATGTTGGATAAGAGCATAGGATTACCTTTCATGTGATATTTGGCACTCGTATCTATGACTCAACTAGTGGAACAAGAAAGAAGAGAAGTACTTGGATAACTTGACTGATAAAGCAAGCAATAGACAGAGACTAAGACATCATATTTTCTTCATACGGAAGAAATTGTGTGTATTTAATGGCAGAAAGTGTAAACGAGGTATATTAGTAGTACCAACATGGGCTGAAAAAGGATTTTGATTCTCAAACTTCCACTGCAACTTTCCACAATTTTGTTCTCTATTCATGGTTCATTGGCAAAATTAACAAAAAACTAACCCTATGTCTTAACTTGCACTTGGGTTGTAGATTTTACCATAACAAGGATTTGATCCATACCAAAAAGTTCACTATGAGACTCCACAGTCATAGGAAGAGTGTGGTTATTATTGGTACGAGCTACGAAGAATTCAATCAAACACTCGTGCAAAGAAGACGGTTTAGAGTCAATAGCAACTAAGAAAATCAATCAACCATCTTCTCCCTTTGGGATTGTTGAATTCGTGTGTTAGAGTTTGTGTGGTTAGTGGGTAGATCTTCTGTCAAATGACCATTTTTTGAATGCCTCTTAAAGTACATTCTTGATTATCTTGTACATTCCAAGTAATTAGAGTCGTTCAATTTTTTCACCTAGTGATCCTGAAATCCATCAGAATCACGTCAGCCATAACCAAATTCTTGAACTCACCATCTGTGAAGGCTAGAGAAGAGACTATGTTGATGAGGGAGAATAGAAAAAGAAAACAAAACAACATTCTCTCGTATTCATTCGAAAATAAAAAAGAAAAAAGTTGCTCATCAGGGAAGCGGGAAAACAAGAAAGCTAACCCTAATTACACACTTTGACACCGTGTAACAACAATAAGAGATAAAAGGTCAAATTATCGAATAACAGGTAAAATATGTGCCTATATGTGGAGTCTAAATTAGGAAGGATTCCTAAGATCGATCTCCTACAATCTGGCTAATTATGACTTGTTATACTTTGTAAAATCTACCTATGTATAACATTTTCCTTTTTTTCTTATTAGGACTTATACTTTGTAATATTTACCCACCTATACTAGTGATGATTATTTTGTATTTCGATGATGGGGCAGATTTTACCAAGTACAATGCTATAGTAGAAAGATGAAAGTAGGATGCTATAACAAACACCTTAATAAAAGTACATTGCTATTTTCTAGCATTTTCCTATATGTGAAATTGATAAACATAGAAGAAACAAACCTGTGAGGGCCAAACTCAAACAAGAGACCAAATTCTTCACAAATAAAATGAGCAGAGGATTTGTGCATCGTGGATCCATCCCCTGCACATAAGCTTTCACTGCCCTTGGAGCAAGATATATTATCACCCAGATGGATAACAATAGGCAACATTTGCAACTTTAGATACACGGAGGGCTTGGAACCTGGATCTTTAGACAAATCAAGCCCCACATCTTTAATCTCTAGAGATGCTTTTGGTGTCTGCCAAAAATTCGTGAAAAGATAAACTGCAACTGTTTTATAAA